GAATCAATGGACTCTGTAGCAAAGTCAAGAAATTCAAGTGAATCGAAGGAAGAGAAGGAGGAAGCTTTGAATGAGAAGATTGATCGACTCGATTTGGAAAGTAGCGAGAACGACGAGGATTTCGATGTAAGTGACCGAATTTAATACCTTTGTATAACATTCTTTTTCTCATGCTGGGTACTATCATTAAATTCATAGTCGTCAAGTGATGTTACACGCTCATAAGAATTTGTGGACTCAAAGAAAATTCGATGACTTGACTCTTCTTCGACAGATAGTCCGCGGTAACTTGGATAATATGCTTTCATTAATTTTTTTTAGTCCAGTGTCGCACATGTATGTGCTTTGCACGATATGGAAAATTTATCTTTGTTCACTATCGTCTTTTCAGCCGGCCAACTGCGTTTCGAGCGACATGAGCAGCAACGAGGACGACGACGATGATGACGATGACGACGACGACGATGATGACAACGTGTCTCTGTCTGAGGTTCGCGACATCAAGAATGAGCTTATTGATAAAAATCATTCACTCAATCAGTTTCTACAAGCCGAGCGAGCTGTCGCGTTGATTCCCAAGGAGAAAATCGATGAGCCGGTTCGTAGAAAGATAAACACCTCGAAAAAATGTCTTTTTGAGGTTGTCTATAGAAATCGAAATTTGTCGATGCGTGACTTCCTCGCGTTTCACTCAAGATTACACTTTCAGCGCATACACGAGCATTCTTTCTTTAATAAATTCCGTCGTGTTGCACTTCTTAGTTATTCTTTCAAATCGAACAAGATGTTAGTAACGCAAATGCAAATTAATTAAACGAAAGTAAAACGATAGTGTCACAAAAGAAATAAAATTTTTATGTACACATATGTTCATATACGAACATTTGCCTTACGCGATTTTTTGCCTTACGCGGCACGAAGGGAACGATATCGGTATCGAGGAGCATCGACAGCACTTTAGAGACAGGACCGCGTTCTTTACACAGCATAAGTGTGTACAACGAGCTTGTTCAACGTATTTAGAGATCGTCGGCCAAAGAGAGCCGCGATAAGGTAGAAGAGCGCCTCGCGACTTCGCAGCATATCGATCCGCCAGAGTGTCATACGCCCGACAGATCCAGTCAGGAAGGCGACCCGACCTTCTACTCGCCGATCAGTTCGGACAACGACACGCCGAAGAAGTGCTCAGCGTCGATCGCCGAACGTAAGTGATTCTCTATGCGCCTGCACCTCCCTGTGGCTGCGATCTCTCTAACGATAACGACTAATTCTTGAGCTGGCTTCTCGCTATCATACATTTCTCCTACATGCGCTTGTGCATCCGCTGCATGTGTACTCGTTTCCATTCGCATTATGCTGACCTTCCGTTCGCTCGTTGACTATATTGGATATATTGGTCGCGATGAATATGTTAAATAAATGAAGTTAATCGTATTCAAATTATTAATTGTTTAGACTCAAGAAAGCTTTTAAAGATAAACAAGTTTGTCAATGGCGAAGCACATTTCATCTCGGCATCAACGATTTCAGGTATACCATCAATTAAGCACTTTGCATACCATCGGCTTGTTTTTCGCAGCTGTATCTGTCAATCGTTTATTCAAATCGCCTCATGTTATTTATCTCAAAGAATCATATCTTTTTTAACAGAATCAAAATCATCTGGGAGAACCAACAACGGTGCGGTGGTGCAGAAGCGCAATACAAATGTGAGTAAATGCCACAAGGGTAAACGCGCGAGTCATGGTAATCGTAAAAAAAAATAGTCAAGAGCAAAATAAGAGAGAGAGAGAGAGAGAGAGAGAGAGAGAGAAAGGAAGAAGAAAATAAAATGCTTCTCTTCGAGACAAGAGATCATTATCGATGATACAATATCGCGCTGTATCGAACGTCATCGATAGTTACGTAATTGTCGAGGATTAAACATGATTTCGAGAGATATTTATCCGTCATAGTTGTTAAGATATCAGGCTATTAAGATACATATATTCGAATAAAAGACGAGTTTGTAAAAGATCGAATTGTCGAGGACGCTCGATAATTATTTTTTGTCAAAATTGTTTGACGAATGAATATATTTCGTGAAAAATCTTAAATGGCGTTTCTTTGGGAGATTTCATCCAAACTATCCAAAATACGTCGTTATTATCGCGTTTGCTTGTGCGCCATCGTGTCTCTCTCTCCCTTTCTATAATAATGCAATTATAGTTTGAACGATAGAAATAGAGGGAAAAAATGGTATATTCACCATTTTTGAGTGGCTCTAAATCCATACGTTACATTTGAGAACGACACTTATCATCAGAATATAACTCAAGATGAACGGAAGATTGATTAAACATTAATTATAACTCCGGAACGTAGAGTGATTCGTCATTTGGACGATTGATCTTTTTTCGAATCCGGTTCGACGATAAACTTCATTCCCTGATTCGATGAAAATTTTGTAGACAAGCGAATATAACAACATCCAAATCACGGCGATATGTTCAAAGTACACAGAAATTATCGTATTTGTTAGACGAAACATCGTCCGTTTCGATAATTACGTAATTCATGAATTGTGTGAATATTGTTTCTTCCTGTATAATAAGATAATATTGTTTCTTCAATAGAACACAATACGAAAAAGTTTTCATATTATTTCCGAAATATTGTTAAACTGATGTTTTTTCTTTAATATACTCGCTTTTATAATTTAATATATATAAATTATAATTATATAAATAAGCGAGTATATTAAAAAACGCTTGCGTAATAATAATTATAAATAATAATTAAATTATAAATGATAATTAATTATTAATTATAACTAAGTTATTAACCGACATAGCAATAAAAATCAGCAAATAATTCAATTTTTATTGACGCGCATATTTGTATCTTATGTAATATGCAAACATTTTTTGTATATACTATAGAGAGACGATAAAATAGAGATAGAAAACACTTTATATCACTTTCTAAATTTATTTTATTGTGCGAAGTAAAAAAATTTATAACATTTTTATATGCCATTTAAAGCATTATTGTTTAACTTTTTATTTTAATTGTAGTTTTATCGTGTTCTATTTGAGTTATAATTATAAAGTTTTCTTTGTATTCTTTTTTGGTAATAAAATAAAAATATTCGGTAGCATTATCTATATTATTTTTTGAAATAAATTTTTTAATCTAAAATAATCACATATGGAAGCAAAATAATTATCGTCATACATGTTTATTCATTTCTTAGTGCCTATTATTTTTATTTCAATTATCAAAATGCAAAATATATAATATAACGATATAGCGATATAAATATATAACGATCAGCAGCGTTGAAATAAATCTTACAAGCTCAAATTAATATTTAGTTATAATTTAAAGTTTTTGCGAATGTATTATAGTGTATATCAAAGATTATTTTATATTGTTATTATTAAATGTAGACACATTGTTGATCTTATGATAATAAATTATTTAACTATAAAACGTATTTCTTGTTGATTATTAAATAATTATTACATTACATTATTTCAACTAAGAATCACAATATGCATCGGCAACACAAAACGACAAAATAATTTAAAACGATAAAATAGTTTAAATCAATACCAGACAAAATGATTGATAGCTCGCTACGACCCCTTATCTTTTGAGACACAGATTTTTGCGTCGCTCGAAATTATATCAATCTTTTACACGCTACGATTACAGCGTTCGCAATTTCTTTACCCCACCTTTCCATAAAATTATTAGAGATACTGTGTGTGTCCATTTTTTGCGACGCGCAACAACTCGCCCTTATCGCTTTAACCGTGATAAGCGGAGATTAGACCCATATGTTATAGATGTACTGGATGGACAGATAAACGGTGTCACGGAGTTCTGGAAATTTAACCAGAGAAGAAATTACACCATGCGACAACGATATCCAATGTCTCACATTTTAATTGCATCATTATGGACCGCATCATTAAGTCATCCTCCACCAATATTTCGAATATCATTGATTTTTTGAACATTTAACACAATTTTTCTTTCACAAACGGGGAATGTCTCTTAATGACACAATTGCAATAATAACGTATCGTGAATATTGGCTATCTGCGCGAATCGATGCATAAATAAATACAGATAGTGAGGGAAAACGATGTTACTTTATCAAGTGCACTCGTAGCGGAGTCCGTTCGGTAGCACTTGTCGGTTAAGCCGCGGATACTTCACCTCGAGGGTCTCTCGTCATTAACAAATTGTACAAACCGTACCGATTGTCGAGTAGCAAAAATATTGGTCGATTACCTCTCTAGAATTGTCGTTTCTCATTTATAAATCAATGCATTCGTGACATTGTTATCTAAAATTTTTACTTTTTATCTTTACGATTTTACGTCGGGATGCACTCCAGATGATAATTTACGACAATTAGCCGTAGAATATATATTATATTCGTATATATATATATATATATATTGTATTGATACTGAATCGATCAACAAGAATAGAACTTGGTGATTAACCGAAACAACATAATTAGAAAATAATGATAATAGCGGTAAAAATGTACTCGTGTGTTTGTTGAAATTGCGCTGCGTCAGCACAACCTAGTAGAAAATCCCAGCGTGGCAATGCACTATCAATCGTTAATATCTTGAAATCATTTTACACGTGATAGATATAGCAATCTATAAGTTTTTTTCTCTCATTACTTTTGCGGTTAAAGTCGCAAGCGGCAAATAAAAATGTTCTGTTTTTCAATTTCTCTATCTAAGTGACACGTGACAATGGTGCAAATGGTGCACACTTAGAAGAGTTTAACACAATTTAAACATGTTTATATATCTATATATTTTTTACACTTATGCTTATGTATATGCACGTGCATCAAGAAAAAAATCTTGAGACAGTTCCTTAAATCATTATTCTGAAAAACTATTATATTTTTCGATAATCTCATGAACAGATTAACTAATATATGGTAACAAACTATGAATTTTTGAGAAAGTCAAATTTGGACAGAAATATTTCAATTTACAAATACAGAGATAAACAATTATGCAAATACTTTTGATCCTCGACTCGATGAGATTGAGGAGACTCGATAATATTTTGGCCCCTCTTTTACGTTATGATTGGCGGTAGTCGAACTAATCTATGTACAGTGTTATCGATATTGATAACGTTGCCGCAGTTCCTATCAGGTAGCCATATTTTTGATGCAATATATAGGTGATCGATATATCTTCACATAGTTCTCTGTAAAACGGCTATCACGAGTTGAACTGTAAGAATATAATCTCGGTTCTGTTTTCTACAATATTTTTTTATTAAATTCCACATTCAAGTTTTCCAACAAGTATTCGTCAAATATCTAACTCGGCGATGTTAGAGATAAAGTGAAAGCCTTAAAGCTTTATTTTCAAAAACAGTTTTTCCAACTTCCACAAGTGGTGAACGTATCAATATTTGTTTGTTGTGTCGGTAAAATTAATTTTTCGAGAAATTTAGAGAAATATGTAAGCTCGTAACGCCATACTATGCAGAGGACGCTGTAAAATTTTCTATCTTACTTCTAATTTAAATCCGTCGGGAAACAAGACTCGTGTCGCGACAAAATTTTTACAGAAGGATATGCGATGACACTTCAAGATGAAATACGTGCAGAATTTTCAAGAAATGCAACTGTGAAACGAGGATCTATCGAGCCCAAAAAAACATTTATGCATTAAAGCGATACGAAGTCGTGAAGGAATTTCTCTTCTTCCTCGAATCTTCCTGAATCAACCATCAACATTGGTACGTCTTTGAGTTTTACCGAAAAAGCCGTGGGATATCTTTCAACTTTTCGTGCCAGAAACGACATTCGTTAATCGAAACAGTAAGAAAAACACGAGAAAATGGCAGCAGGATATGACGATTGTTATGACGCTTCTTGGCATCTAATACCACCCGATTACGTCAGCAACGAAGAAGATTATAGGTAAAGAGTTAACAGTTAAAAAGCGATGCTTTACAAATATAATTTTTTATGTCAAAAATAATAATTACGATATGTTTAGCTGATTTTTATCTTTTGCCGTTATATTCAATGAAACCCGAAACTTTAAACTATATCTTTTATAACTGTATGTGACTTATTATTTTGAGGTTAATTTCTAAATCGTTACCTAATATTATTTCAAACTGAAAGTCAAATAAAATAAAAGCGAACAATCACTCTATATAGACTAAACATATGTTTGACATAGAAATGGAATATTATTTTCATTACTAATTACGTGCCGTTATTTACAATGGATTTGAAGCGTAAAATAAAACAACTTATAACAGCTTTAAATTTAATGTTATATGTCCATAATTCATAAATAACTTGTAATGTACTTTATTGTAAAATTATTAAGAAGGAGAATCTATGATGATAAACTGGCACGCGACAACACACACTTAATACATTTCCTTATATAAAAAGCGTTGTTAATCTCGAAATGCTAAAAGGATTATCCGATCCCCAAGCGTTCGCGCGAACAATTAACATCTGATTAAGCCGATAATACCGGAAACCGGAAGCGAACGTTTAAGAGTAGTCACGCATATCGGTTTGGTGGCGGATCCTTCGGCGTAGAGTGGTACGCCTTGTTACACACCGGGACACACACGAGAAGCGAAAGGTCCGTGCGGTGTACCGACACCTGTTGGTTTCCATCATAAATTTCGGATTAATCGTATTCCACGATATACGATTCCTGCTACTTCCCCCTACTCATTCGTTGCACCTGCGAGATCGCGAAGTCGTCGAATCAGAACCATCACCGAATGGTCAACTATTTAATTTAACATACTGCTATCTAATTCTTATTTCTGTACACGGCATATCTCTGCAAACATTTCAGTTTTTCAGTTTTACGTCTTAGCTCGTGAGAGTCCTGTTTGACAAGAAACGGAGAACATTATTTTTTACTGTGTAAGATATGCCAAAGTGATATAAGTTAACGTGTAAGCAACGAATTTCTTATTTTTTTTTAGAATTTTCAGGACTTCCTAAATTAAAATTAAAATCAATTTAGCTTCTGGATCTTTAACATCTTTAACATCTACATGTCGAAATTCTTGAGATGCAGATTTGTTCTTCAATTTTTCTATATATATATATATATATATATATATATATATATATATTATTCTTCATTGCAATCTGCTTCACAAAACACTTCTTGCACGGAAGCTTTTCCATGTATGAAGAGAGCAATGAGAATTCATTGTGCTACTTAGAATATCATTTTAGATGATATATATATTAAACAATTCTTAAACGACATCAATGATTAGTAACCTTTAACGAGTCGTACCAAGTCTAGTTCGCGAGGATAGTTCGAACGAGAAGCCCATTTTATGAAAAAGGGACCTTCTTCTTAATGGAGCTCTTGAGCAAGTATTAATTCTACGTTTTTGAAGAAGTATTCTTTTGGGACTCACCCGTCCGACCCGAACCAAAGTGCGTACTACGTTCATTCATGTTTCCACAAGGAATGCCCGTCACTCTCTTTGTTGACTTTATGAATGAATATAAGATTCTCCGACTAAAATCTACGGTATTCCTTTCCCAGTCACTTTCAACGATAGAGATATTTTAAGCAATAATATGAAAAACTACAGTTTTTTATTGACTGCATAAAAAGAGCTTAGATCTCAATTAAAATATTTAAAAATATTTTTTTTATACTTAACATTCTTAATATGTCACGTGAAAAATTGCATAATTTAATATATATAAAAATCATTAATAATTAAAGTAAAATGTATTTGCTACTATCCGTTGCTCGTTAAATATCAAGAAGTATAAAATATCTAAATGTTAAAAAATAATTAAATTTTAATAATTATTTTTAAAGATAATAATTTTTATATGATTTTCCTTATATTCAAGTACAATCATAAATCTATTTCACAAATTAGTAGCTTTCAAGGATTTTTGAGAAGTTATTGTTCATGGTTATTATAATATAGTGTGTATATGTATCGCCGTAATCTTCTAACAATAAGTTAAAATACCATTGATCGTTTTACACTTATTTTAAGAAGCGTTTGAAAGACTCGGAAGAAGGAAAAACATTTTTTCATTCAGTTTTCTTTTAATATGCAAGGTTATACATAAAAATTTACGATCCTCTCCAACAGTCACTTAAGTACTTGGCACCCTACTTGGTCCTACAGACAAAAAGAAAAAGAAGCAGTGATCGTTTCGATAGGCCGAGGTTAAACGGTGCTCGAATACTAATGCTAAGTTTAAGGTTTGACCACACATATTTCGAGAAATCATCTGTGTTTGTGAATGTGACATTATACCTCGGGAACATTATTCTGGGATTGTAAGGTCACTTGGAGATTTAGAAGAAATTTTTCTTGGTCACGTATCGGCATTAAATATAAGGATCGACTTGATTTTCAGGTGTTTTTTTTTTTATCGCTATTCAGTAGGTATATTGTGATGTAAATGGTGAGATATTTAGTAAAGATGAATAGCCTGACACGTTTCTGGATACAAATTCCAGAAATGAACAGATCTGAAATTTGAAGTGGCCACTTGGCCTACAAGCGTTATCGCAAAACTCAACTTTGACTTTACCAAAGTTTTCTTTGCAAAATCAAGAGAATTTGGCAAAAAGAATCATACTTTTTAATAATTGAAAAGATATTTGTCATTCATCAATCATTTTCAGTCAGACACTTTAGTAAGAAAATATCAAAATTTTATTTAATTATAAAACTAGAATAAAAATTATATTCCAGAGATTTCTTCAAAGTATCTATAAATCTATTAATAAATTTTATTATAAATTTTACGCATCCCTCAGAACACAAATCTATGACGTGACCCTAAAAAATTTTATAAAATGAACTTAATTGGAATTTATTGTTTATTAATTCAAATGTTTATAATGTATTGTAGGTTTATAATGTTGACCGTTATAATATTTAACATAAAAAGATTAAAGAGGTAGGCGGAGTGTCGAGTTAATTCGTTATTTCTTTCATAGCCATCTAATCCGATCATTTTCCATTATCGTTCCATATTTACTTTTCAGACTTTCATGACATTTCCGTTTCGGAATACCATTTTTGTGATTTTTAAAAGAATATAAGCTAGTGAAAATAGCAGTTGACCACTTCGAACAGGTATAAAAGAAGAGAGGAAATGCGAAAGAACGAATAGAAAAGAAGATCTTCGCTTGACCATCTGGTCGATTAGAACCGCCGTTGGTGGCAATAAAATTCTATGTATTACAACAATAACCAATACTGTGTTGTATTCTATCAAGGATTCATTTTTCACAAGTACTAAAATATAAATTTATTAATACAATATTAGTGATGATAGTATAAAAGTAAGAGACCAGAAATTGAAGTATCATAAAATCAATATCAATCAATTTGTTCAACAAAAATTTCGATTATACCAAGATTTTCTTCAGCAAAATGGATGTTAAAAGTTTGCTTAGAATGTAAAGGAAAAGATTTATTTCTTGGATTTAAATCTCATTGTCAATAATATTACAGTGCTTATCACGTCTAAAATTGATTTTGTCGTGAATAATTTTTACAACGATTACAAATATCACCCCGATCCTCCTTTTTGGCTAAAATATAATTTATATTCTCTTTTGCATTAAACAAAATTATATTGCAAACAAAAAAGTAAGTAACAAAATATTGATATTTCCGTGTTTAAATATCGTGTTTTAAATATCGAATTAAATCTCCATTCTTTATGCTCGCGTTTGCATTCAAAAACATTATTAAACTAGAAAACTCGGGACGATCGAGCTCCACTCGATCATATTGGAGGGTTGCAATAATTCTCAGGCACGATTGCATCGGTGAAGCAACTATTGTAGATGATGGGGAACGGGAGAGAGAGCAGTAAAACAATGAGACGCAGACAAATTGGGTTGCGTGCTCGAAACAAGTTGGCACAGCTATCGCCAAACAGTCGTGGGAGCCCGACAAATGTTGCTCGATTGCCCGGAGAGCTCGAGACTTCTCCATTTTTTCCCGCCAATGCTCGGAACTTCCGGGACAAGGAGCGGGTTGAGGGGAGAAGAGGAATTCAAGAAAAACGAGGGACGTCTCGCGGGTTTCTTTCTCGTGTTGAACACGATTCTAACCGAGTTAGACGATGCAACGTGTACAATGAATCAATGCATATATTGTTTCAGTTCTTAAACTGCCGTGCCGAACGTTTATAAATATGACTAGGAATCTTGTAACGCAACATTTTTCTTATAACATTACAATGTTATAACACATTGATTACATAGTAAATTATTTACAGTTGTGGAAACTTTGTTTTCTTGTTAAAAATTAATCACTTATGAATCGCTACATCTTCGATTCAAATTACCCATTTCAAGAACTTAGAACTTTCATTTATAAAAAAATTTATAAAATTCATAAAATAATCATCATCATACTATTACTTCAATCTTTGCAAATTTGTATCATTCATTACCATTACTGTTGTCATAAATAATCATGCGTTCGTAATATAAAATTGTCGCATCAAGAACTCAGGTATAAAATAACTGAATGTCAGTACCTTGACCACTAGAAAATACAAGTGTTTCCTTTTCCGGTAGCCGCTAGCATTTATTTCCAGAGATAAATTTGGGGAGTCAAGACGCGACCATGAGAAAACCAGGAAAGTCGAATCTATCCTCTTCCGTACTTTTTGACTTTCTGTGTGGTGAAGCCGCGCGATTGTACGGGGACCAGTTTGAATACACCGGAAACTTGCCCCATCGTCCCTTTACCTGTTTCTCGTTTCTGAATCGCGCTTTTCGAAACTCCATTTTCCATCGTGCTACCGTCGGTACGCGTGCATTTATTGTGAGTGTCTGCATTCAGGTGTGCAGCTCTCTCTCTCTCTCTCTCTCTCTCTCTCTCTCTCTCTCTCTCTCTCCCCCCCTCTCTCTCTTTCTTGCG